AATTATACCACCTTTTCACATGTAAAGAATTAATACAAAGACACGAAAATAAGAATAACCATAAGATAGACTTTCAGACAAAAACATAGCAAATCTCACATGTAAATCTACCACTTTTTCACATGTAATGAGATAATTGAAAGACATTGAACATAAGGATAACCATTACATACGAAAGGTTTTGACGCTTGGTTGATTATAGTTTCTCATCTTATTATCTAATTCATTGAGCATCCTCATGTGTCAACATGTTATTCTGCCTTCTTGACATACCAATACATATTGTATATGTAGTTATGTACTGATTTCCAATGATTTGGAATGCTTCGTTTTCATGAATACAAGTTCAAGTATACAAGTTAGCAAACTTTTGTAGTAGGCTCTTGTTGCATACCAAGAAAAGTATCAATGATCTGTATATTTTCACCTGGAGATAATAGGTGTCTAGTATTATCAGATGTACTTATAGATATAGTTAGACTCTTAAAGATTCCATTAGATGCTTTATAGACATTGTAAATCTGCCGCCTACGATTATAGTTTCATCTATCCATCATGTCACATCCTAACCTGGGTGAGGAAGACTATGCTTTGTATGAACAGATGAACTATATACATATATACTAAACCATATGACCTAACTCTATAAGAAAAACATGTTATAGATACAATTATCTAGTTTAATACATAATTGTAGATACACAAAGGGCTACTAAGCCTGACTCATATGTATAACATAACTTAGTGATATCTAAATACTAAGAGACATATATGACTTAAATGCCCACACTAGTCTATATGACTTAAATGCCCACAGTAGTCTATGAAGACATTACTAGAAACTAATAACAGAATACTTATCAAGATAGGTCCATAACCTATATATACTGCACATATACATCAAAGAGTATCTACACTCAACTTGCCTCTAGATTGAAATAGGTCCATAACTTAAGTGTTTACGCAGATACCTAGTGAGGTGGTCAGCTGACTAACCTATATGCCCTCAACCTACAGTATTAAATGTAATACATGTAATAAAATGAAGCTTAAAAAAACCTTATAAACTGAAATTTCCAGTATTGAAACAGTTTGAAGATCTAGCCTCTCAAAATAATAAGAACAACATAGTTTACTCAATAACCTTTACCAAACTTGAGGTGTAAACTTCAAAACACAAATAGATTAAACTAAATAGGTAAAATAGAATAAAAAAAACATCTATTTCATAGAAATTTACTTGTTTATTACAAAAACCCTTCAATGGAATATCCAATTTTACAGAGCAAAAACCTTTTCAATAACTTTTCAGAGGAAGTTATGAAAATCATGCCTTTTTGTGAAGATGTTGGAGATGAACCCACAAATCACTTGTTGAAGTTGTCGGAGATGACGCTCTAGTCGGAGATGACCCACTTGTTGGAGACGACCCACTTGTCGTGGTGGTGATAGTCGTTCTTTTACTAGAGATGACCTAAGATGTGTGTTAAAGATTTGATGCAACCCACAAGTTCTAGAAATGTCCTTTTAAAATTATTAGAATTTAGAATTACTTTTAAAATAAAATATAATAAAAATCGCGGGATTATAAAATCAGTGCAGGGAAAATATATTTGGGCCAAAACCATATCAATAGCACTTTTTTTAATAAGAACCGTTCCTAAAGAATATCCTATTGCAATAGTTTTCGTAATCGTTGCAAAAAGTACCTTTGTAAGCTACGGTTATGCACTAATGCAGCGATTTATTTTAACAAGTGTTGTAGTAGGTCCAAGGATCTACGGAAATGGTTATAACTGTTGCAACTTCTTAGTTATAGTAAGGGGTCGTTTGGTTTGAAAATGAGTTATGATGGGATAAGTTATGTTGGGATAAGTTATGTTGGGATTAGTTATGATGGGATAAGTTGTGTTGGGATTATTTTTTATTGAGTGTTTGGTTTGTTATATTCAAAATAATAAATTTTAAGAACAATTTATTTATTTACAAAAATGCCCTTCATTAAGGTAAAAAGTGATACAACAAAAGGGTTGAAAGAGACATTTTTGTCATTTACCTATTTTATCCCGGGATAAGTTATCCCGGGATTACTATACCACCCAAGGAGAGGGATAACTTATCCCGGTACTAATTATTAATCTCGGGATAAGTTATCCCGAACTTGCCAACCAAACAACAAAATAAGCGGTACTATAATTTAATCCCGGGACTATTTGGTATTATCCCTTACACCAAACGAGTCCTAACAGTTACTAAACCGTTGCAAAATCACTGTTGCCGTAGGACATATTTCTAGTAGTGTCACCTACCTCTCATTGAGTTTGCTTATAACAATAGTTACCACTCTAGCTTCCAAATGCCTCCTTATGAAGCTTTTTATGGGAGAAGATGCAGATCTCCTATTGGACGGTTTGAAGTTGGTGAAGTTGGGTTTAGGACCAGACTTAGTTCATCAATCTATGGAGAAGGTGAAAGTTATTCTAGAGAGGTTGAAAATAGTGCAGAGTCATCAATAATCTTACACAGACTTTAGGAGAAGGGACTTAAAGTTTGAGTTAGATGATTTGGTTTACTTGAAAGTTTCACCCAAGAAGGGTGTTATGAGATTCGGTAAGAAGGGGAAGCTTAGTCCCCGATATATTGGTCCTTACAGAATATCCAAGAGGATTAATAATGTAGCTTTTGAATTATAGCTACCACAAGAGTTAGCAGCAGTTCATCCGGTGTTCCACATCTCCATGTGGATAAAAGTGTATGGGCGATCCTTCATTGATCATACCAACTGAAGATATTGGAATCAA